TCTTCCTGCTCACTTAGTGGAAGCTGAAAGTGCCTTTCAGTTGAAGGTATTAGAAGACGAGGGGGGTAATAAGGTGTTGGAAACGACCCACAAGCACTCGACGCCACTTCAATAAATTGAGTGGCGTTCTGGTGAGTTCATTTTTGCGACGATTTGTTCCTCGTTCTAATGACGAATCGAAAGCCAATAACTTAAAATATACAAATTTAATATGAAGCCCCATTCAGACTATTAACTTTAATTTTACAAAAACATGTGACATGCCTAAATATGGTCATGATGACATCACATCATGACCATATATAGGCACATCATGACCATATATGGGCATACAACAATTTTTTGTCAAAGAAAATGTGATAGTCTGGACAGAGCATAAGCAATCAAAACGTTGAATTTTAGTTTCCAGTTTGTTTAGGTCAACATAGATATGAACGCTTAGTTTGATCATATTACGATTTTAAAAGGTTACAAACGGTAATCTTATATCTATTAGCGCATCATAATTGTGATATATTTACATAGCACCATATCATTTATAGGGCAAAATGTTACTGTCCACGGATTTACTTGCGACCCAAATTAATACGCCCTACAGATGTTTAATAGAGAACGCTGTGTTTAGCCTAATTACCATCACCCGGTACAACTCTCGCCAATCATCATAAACGTAAGTAACAGCGGAGTATTTTAGCAAACAAGACAATGTTCCGATACACTGATTGAGGAAATGGTATCATTATTATTCATCTGGGTACAGGAGAAGACGGGTCAGCAATACTTGATTGCTTATCGAAATCAATAATACATATCTTGACTCTGCCCTAATCTTTAGCGTACAGCTCTTGAGAGCGCCTTGAGAAGACCACAGAGACTTGTCCATTTAAGCCTAACCATCTAACCCATGCGTTCGGAGAAACCAATGCAATGCACTGCAATGTCTGTTGTTCCAGGCTAATTAAGTCGAGAATCTAACGCTCTTATTTCGCGGTAATCAATCGCAACGAATTAAAGAACTCATTAGCTAAGCGCCATTAACTTTACTCATCGAGAACATAAAGCGGTAGGCAGTGTTTGTAGTAAAGTGATGACGCCTTGTGACCAGGAGTGTTTAGTATTTATGTGTTTAGTGTTTAATCATGTTTATAATTTTTGTGTTCAGTGTTTGTTAAAGGTTTCCAAATGTCTCCCTAATGTTTCAAAGGCGAGACCAATTTAGAGACAAAAGTGTCCTGTATTAATTTTGAGATTTTGATAATGCCGGCATGTGCTATAAATATACATAATGTACATTTGAGAAAATATAAAATGTATATGATAATTTTCCATCTAAATGTCAAAACATAATAAACCTTTAATTTTTAAAGTAAAACACCATTTAATATATATATATATATATATATATATATATATGAAATGAAAGGCTAGTGATTTAACTTATAGTATCATTTATCAACGGTTCAACACTCCACATTTTAAGACCAATACAATACCGTATAGTATTTTAACTACTGTATAAATGAATAGACTGTGAACAGAATATTGATTGACAATAGTACGTGTATTGTAGTTTTTCTGGGAGACGATGAAAGCAGGACAATGGTCTGACGGAGCAAATTTTCTCTCATAGTTTCCCTCACACCTCATCTTGTCCGGCCCCTCCGTGCGATACCACAAATTGAAAACTACAGACGGAATCAACTAGCTTTACAACTATCATTTCATTTCATTTATTTTGTTTTCAGAAAACATTCAAGTGCACGAGAAAATGTATACAAACAGACAGATTCGTAGGAGCGTCTCGCGCGGCGTGTAAAGCTCGGTTTCGCTCACCCTATCGGTGCAGTCGCCGACAGTCGCCGGGAAGGTTGAACCCGGACTTTGCCGATTGCCTTGCAGATGAATTAGGGTGCATTGCTAATTTCCACGACGCAAACATGAAGGTACCCCCATTCGTCTGCAACGAAATCGGCGAAGTTGAACCAGGTTCAACCTTCCCGACAACTGTCGCCGATAGGGTGAGCGATTGTATGGAAACCGAGCTTCATGTGTTGGACTTTTGATCGTGATATCGAGAGTTTACTTGTCAATACGTTTACCTCTCTCAACCCCAGGAGTATAATTGGATACCTGGTAGGATGGTGTGGCATTGAAAGTATTAGGTTATGCGTGCCGTGTAAAGCAGCATGACTTAGGATACTCAGTGGGGAACAGTTGCACAATGTGCTGGTTTGCCAACTATCCAGTGACCAGGGGAATACTGATCCCAGTGCCTTGTATATTCTTCGGTCTGTGATAGGCGCAATATGAATCTAGTTTCTAAAAAATAGGTGTGGGGGGGGGGACTAAGAAAGAAAAAGAAAAGAAGCAATCGTTAACAACCCGACGGCATAACCAAAAATTGAAACAAATCATGTCGAGTTGTTCTCCATTGCAGAGGCGTATTTACGTGGTCTACCACCAGGTGCGATATTATCCATGAAGGTTTGTTCACAATACAGTAAGAACGCTAAATATATTGATATATAATTACAAAAGTACTTTGTTTGACAAAATATATCAGTGTTAGAATATAGAGTTTTAAGAGGGTCTAATTTATACGCGTATCAAAAGTATATAGTATAATGCATTATACAACGTCGCATAATCGGTCGTAATTGTTATTTTTTTGTTCTTGAATTAGTAGCAAAAATTAAAATAGACCTATTTTATTGTAAGTTAAATACTTTACTGTGTAAATTAATTTTATGGGATACTCATAAATTTTCCTCTATTATATTGTAAATGTGAGTCTGTATTAACGATTTTAAAATTAATATTTAATTAAATACCTGGTAATAACCTTTGTGCATTTTGATACAAGGCCGACTTTCTAAACATAGGTCAAACGTTATATTATGCATTCATTGTTTAATGCTAACACATGCGCCTTTCAATATTGTTTTTATAGATTAATTGTCATTTGTATTTTCAATTTGATTGCCGCTCAACAAAATTACCGTAAGAAATATCCTTTTAAATAGTTGACTTGTTAATTTCTTTCAAAGTTACATCGATCTGAAATTTTTATTTATGATGTTTGGAACCATTTCGACCATACAAAGTGTATAAAGTAACGTAAACAGAGACGGAAAACAAAAGACCGGGTTTTTTTTTTCAAATAGTCGGTTTACTACTAAATTTCTACAAATTTAATCGCAGTAAGTTTAATAGACCTATAAAAAATGACAAAATCGTTCTGACTTTCAGTTGAGCTCGGTGTCGGGCTTATGTTGTACATGATAATTATAGAGGCCAATACATACGTATAATATGTAAATGGAATGTATAACATTTTAAAAAGTAATCAATCTATAGTTTAATATACATTATTAAGTAATCTTGGCTTATATTCAATACTATGTCAGATTTGTTATTATGTGTCCTATTGGTATAATTAAATTATTAATTAGCGAAAATTTTTCTCGTCATTAAAAAGCAAAATTTGTCCACTACGTTGATAAGCACCTTTAGCCAAATCGCCGGCTAAAATGACGACAAATGAAATATAGACAATCTCAGAATGTTTGCAGATAAATCAGACAACCCACATTGGCTAATTGACAATTTACCCACGATTTACAAAAGCGTATTCGATTACTCGCACCGCGTACCAAATCTACGCGAACACAACGGCGTGCTGGAGTGGTCATTACTATTCGAAAGGCCTTCCCTCCTCCCATGGGAAATGTTTGTCTTTGAAGAACCAGACACTCAATAGGTAGTACTCGTTGGGGATTGTAACCTAATGTTAGTCACACATAAGGACAGGAGATGAGAAATCACGCGCTGTTTATGAACGGTAACCCGGTACTCGAACCGTTTGAAATCAAAGCCATTTCGTTTTGCGTCTATAGAGGTACCGATTAATTAATCAACATCAGACATTCATCGGCGACTTGAAATGGAATCTTCGTCTAAGTCGGCCACGGTCGGGTGTATTTTAGTGTAGATTACATGAAACAGAAGTAAAGATTTCCGGGAGATTTTGGAACCTGACACACCTGACGTAAAACTTTTTTTTTTTTTTTTTTTTTTTAAGAATGTGTTTATGTTTGGAAACGTCACGGCTTTAGCGATATCGTTAAGCGAAGCTTTTTTTTTGTTTATATGAAACTATATGGGGTGAAATATAAGTTGAAATTATATGAAATTAAACTGAATTCATTAAATACCAAAAGCAACATAGTTCATAAATTAGATTCGACTTAAGGTTTGTAAAAGTCGCATCATCATCAATAACGCCTTTTGTTTTGCAGCATGACGCCTTCCACTATTTCGTGTCGTTTCTGTCATGGGCAGGATGGTTTTGTGTTTTGTTTTTTGCATGTTCTAGTTCATTTTCAACGTTTGCGATCCATGTTAACTTTGGTCTTCCTCTTGGTCATCTTGTCATCGAAAAGTCGCATAGGCCTACACTCATAAATGTTTATATGTACATAATATATATATATATATGTATATATATATATGTATATATATACATATATGTATAGGCCTATATATATGGCCTTTATATTTATATATACATTGTAAATTATCTTATGATATTCCTTTTTAAATTACAGCTTTGTATTGCTATGATTGATTACAGCAATATTGGTGTCTGTTCACTTAATCATAAATCCTTGTTTTGTCACTAAACCGGAGCAACATCCTGAACAGAATATAACTGAATCAGTGATTTTAAAGAGCACCTATCAAATACCGACTGGAATTATTTCCCCTTAAAAGAAGAGCGAATCCAGAGTATTTTCTAAATTGGGGGCACAATAGACGGGACATCAGTTTCAGGATTTATTGAATATAATTTGTCAATTGTAAATGTCAAAAAGGAAGAATATTGCCGTTCCCCATGTAGCACTTCACCCACCCCTAGATTTTACGCGCAGTGTACGCAAAGTGAAATTGTACACTAAGACTCAAATCGGCAGAAATAGTATACTGTACTATGAAGTTACCTGTTCAAGACAGATGCTCCACTGTTTAGAGGTGACAACACTGTCCGACAGACAATGCATTCGTGTGCCTTCTTTGTCAGCTTCGACACATTATAGAACACCCATCCGCCTAGCTATCATCAGGAATCGTTCATTCGGCCTGGCTTCACTAGCAAATTCGCAGATTCCCAAGGCCTAGCCGGTAGTCCAAGCTGATAGATAACAAAAAAATCCTTCGGGTGGCCGTTGCTCGTTTCCATTTTAATCGATCCATTTACGTAGAGTTCGGCTTAAATCTTCCGAGAAACCTGGTACCTTCAGACTGGAATTAGCAAAATGAATGAAACAATATGATTGTAGAACCTATATTGCATTTATTACATTAATACCATGCCCTTATAATGTCAAATATATTTATTTTAAAATTCATAGTCCTCAGAAATCTATTATAATACGAGTATGATCTATTCATGAATTCAGATATTCTCATATCCAGTCTTATAAAATATGTATGTATGCAGAATTTATTTCGCCCAGAAGAAGTAGGCCCTGCCCGATTAAGATTTTTTTATTTGATTAATTTCAAAATTTAAATAAACCAAGTATATATTATATTTGGATGAATTGATCATGTTTGGAGTGCCCTATATTTCAAGATATTGGATTTGTATGATATAGGCCTATATAACGGCGGCAGAACGTTTTTGAAAGTAGGGGGGGTCCAGTATGCGAGCGAAGCGAGCATCTAGGCTGGACCAGGGGGGCCCCCGGTGGGGGTCCAGGGGCGAAGCCCTCTGGAAGCTACTGATATTTTACGAAGTTTGGTGAATTTTATAAGTTATTTTATAGGCATCAAACTACTGTAATATGACTTCATATTTGTTGTAATTTCCAGTGGCGGATCCAGGAATTCGAATTAGAAGGGCCCAGGTAGGGTACTTTCACAGATAGAAGACCTACACCATGGTTGGTGCTGAGGTAAGAAAATATTGTGATTATGGCACCTTTATGGCCGGAAATTGCACATCCAGACATAAAATTTGAATATAATTATCCTTATATCTACATTTTTTATTGAACAATTTAGGGGTGGGGGCGGCTGGGTCTCCTTGAATCCGCCAGTGGGTAGGCCTACTTCAGCAGAAGGAGAATGTATACCACCTTAGCCCCACAGCGATGGTTGGGCTGAGGTGGCCGTAAATTACACTCTCAGACTTAAAATTTCAATATAATTTTCTTTATATCGCCATTAAAAAAAATTAATAATTAATCAATATAACACTTGACATAGCCTATCATTTTGTTTCACAAATGATAGAAATTCCTAATTTTATTCGAAAGCCTTTTTTTTTACTCAATACAGTTTTTGCAACCTATAACACATTAACCACAGTGTACTGTAAATTTTGTAGTTAACTTTCAAAGAACTTAATTTTTTTTAAATGGCCTAATTATGTATCTTATTGTTTTCGCTTAGATGGAGTTTAAATGTGGTTATATTACGCTAGTTTGAAGGTTTACCCTAAGCCAGTCAGTTACACTTTCTATACATCTTCGTCCTTAGCATAAAGAGAACTAGAGTGTCGCTCCATTAAGAGACTGACCCCCTCACCCCTTATATGCCTAAAGACAGAATTCACAAATGCAGGCGATTCCATTCTCTTTTCTTCATGCTCGAGGGTGGGTTTCAAGGAAACTTTACAGACACGCGTATACAGACGTCAATCGACATTTGGTTGCTCAACTCAAAAAGGGAACTTGTAATGTTCGTTAGAAAATGAAAAAAAAAATCTATATTAATAATGGTAATAGGTCAATTTATAAGGCGCAAATAAACAAGGTGTCTAAGCACCAAATAATAATAATAATAATAATAATAATAATAACAATAATAATAATAATAATAATAATAATAATAATAATAATAATAATAATAATAATAATAATAATAATAAGTATATTATGTGCATACATGTATATAACCTTTAATTCTATTTTTAAATATACATTATAAAATAAATGTTATAATGTATATATAAATATATATATATATATAGACCTATATATATAGTACGGTATGTAAAACATTACTCTAAGCCATTTGAAGAACAAAATATAATTGATGTATGTTGTTGTATATACATTACATTATAAACGCCAATAATAGTACTGTAATACATTAGAGGCCTATTTATGAACACACGGTGATGTGCTCTTGTTCTTTAATTTACATAATATCCACAAACATACGTTATAAATTAATCATTTCTGTATTACAGTATCTACCTTTCTGAAAATTCACTTCGGGTGTGATATGATTCATGACAAGTTAATGAGAATGCATAACGTAGGCCTATGTGGTTTTATCGAGTTTTATGAAGGTTTGAAGATGCGTGGGTGGATTAATATATTCCAATGCTTAATAAAATATATGCTTAAAAATAGTAACCGAGTAGTACGTTAGTAGCCCGTACTCATGTAACCCACTTTGTACCCACTTTAGTGCAATAGGCCTAACTCACTCGTTTAATTCGCATAAGCGACCCGGAGGCTGCGACACCAACAATGCAATACAACATTCAATGAAATTGATTATATTAATAATTATAATAAGATACGGATGTTGCAACTGTTGCAGAACTTTTAATGGTAAATATCTCCATTTTATCAAAAGGTGGTTGTTATTGGAGGGCGATGCCGAAACGTTTGCGTTATTTACCATTAAAAGTTACCATACTATAAATATCACCTTTGCTTTATGCATTTTACTTCCCAAGGAAGGAGCAGAGAAGGCTCTGGTCTGCCACATGTTTGCTCATTAATTCGTAATTGGCAATATATATATTTTTTTGCATTATTATTTATTGTGCAATTCGTACCCCATTTCCAATGGGGTCCAAATTGCACAATTAAAAAGTTATCAAAATTAATACATGATTAAAAAGGAAAAGAAAAAAAGTAGCATTTAAAAACCAAGATGCACCCAATTAACTAATAATTTAGATAGAACACAACAGTGCTCAATTATAATTATTGCAATTGAGCACTATTGCGTTCCTACAGTTTTTTGATGTGTATTTTAAATGTAGCCATATTAGTAATTAATTTTAAATTAGTTGGGAGAGCATTCCAGTCATTTAAATTAGTTGGGAGAGCATTCCAGTCATGAGATAGAGTATCGGAACAGTAATCTGTGGGCTTTGGGTTCAAAACCCGATGGGGACAATACGTTTTTCTCAATACAATTATTATCATTTCATCATTATATTAATATTAATATTTAGAATTGACATATATCAGCGACCTCTGTGGTCACTGATGAGAATAATGCCCTGTTAGAGGTCCGATTGTTTTGTTGTATATTTTAATATATAATTACATTTAACGAGACTCCATTAACATGACAAATATGAGTTTCACAAACGTGACGGTTTAATTGCCTTAAATTATTCAATCAGCTATAATGGTGAAAACTAAAATTAAATACAATTTTATGGATAGTAATAATAACTATTATAGGAATTTAAAACCTGCCGACAGTGAGAAAATTTCACAACTTATATAGTACTATATAATAGCATGTTGACAAAACAAAATTCAGAAGCAAGCCAAATAATGCAGTATTACAGAAGATGAAAAAACACAAACCAATCAATCTTTATTCGGTCTCGAACACTCAACTTATATGTCATACCACTAGATCAAAATGGTTTTGCGAAAATATATAAAATTGTAGCTCTACGTAAATATATAAATGGAGACCAAACCACCTTGTGTTAATGCCAAAATATCATGAGATACAGAATCGAAGAAAAAAAACAGCTTTTTAACAACACCATTTCTTTGTCTGTAGTAAGGCCTATATAGGTTTGTACTTGATATAGGCCTAATGTAGTCTAAATTATAATGAAATATATATTAATAGAGAACTCGAGAGATACCGTTAGGTAGATACTTACTCACTGACGAATATGTTTCTTTTACATTTGTCCCGTGGTTAGTATTTATAATGTTTATTTGTGTACTATCCACTTTTTCTTGACCATTGTGTTTCTTTCATATTTTTCTTTATTTTCTTACCGTAATTAAATTTTCCTAGATTCATATCTCAATATTACAAGCTCAATTGGTTTAGTACTGCTGCGTTACTCGTTTGTTTGATTCTATTAAAAAGCATCTGTGTGTAAAATGGTATTCTGAACCTGCTTAACACTTAACCTGGTTAAACATAATCACCGTCCATGTTAGCCGTTTCTATCTTTGTCAGATATTTTAAACGCATCCTGCATGGTATTTTTTCAAGTAAGGCTACGAGTAATTATGCAAAATTCGAAAACTTCATACAATATTAACGGTATATTAACACGTCGGAAACAGTGCAAAAACCTCGTAGCATTGAACTTAATTTTATTTTTCTATTCTTTGTTGATCTTCATATAATAATAATCACATTCGTAAGTCTGTTCTTAATGTTAGTTGTAAAATGTGTTCTTGGTTGGATAAGGGTGAATTTCTATTGTTATTAATGTGCTGTGTTCTTAACCGTCACGAGCTGACGCGCTAGTAACTACATAGGCCGTGGAAGAGCTGGCGAATAGAAGAAAAAAACTGCCTTGGGTTGCCATCGCCTGTGGGGATGTTGCAACCTGACACATTGATCATCATTCGACACAGATAAACACTGTATAGAATAGAAACAACGAATAACGGACAGCAAAACATAAAATCAAAACAAATTCAGCGAGACAATTACCAGCAAGCTTAACTTCTAATTTAACTTCTACGTTTTGTACTTCTGCTGTTCTCAGAAGGCTGTCCAGGGAGGTTCCGGCCCGTTGCCCCCCGGGCCTAGCCTGTTCATGGTTGTGGTGACGTGCGTCCATCAGTAGATGCATGTGCAGTGTACTTAGCTTACTTTATCTCTGGTGCAAATGCGCACATTATAAATCAAAAAATGAGACAAAAAAACTAAGGAATGTCAACTAAATATCTTTTTTCCTTCAACCATCAAAAATTGAAAAATAAAAGGAAGGTTTTTTGTAAGACTAAAAAAACTATACTCCTATCTAAAATACATCACACCAAATATCACCATCATTATAATCATCAACATTACCATCACCATCATCAAAATCATCACACTTAGTATAAACATCATCATCATCATTATAATCATCATCATAACAATTCCTTTTAATCCTCCTCATCATAATGATCAACATCCCCACCACCATTTTAAACATTGTTAACATTATCATCATCATCCTCATCATATTCATCATCATCATCACCATCATCATCGTCATCATCATCACGATCATCACTATCATCATTCTCATCATTATCAGTATCATCATTATCAACAACAAGAACTCACCACCTTCATCATCATCACAGCATCGTCCTCATTATTATTACCATCATCACTATTTCAACAACAAGATCACTGTAGACGTTGTAGACGTTCTGATTTTCAACCTCGAGGCCGGAGGTTCCCTCGCTGTGCATTTCGTTTGTATCCTTAGGCACGGCACCTTAGCTACGGCTGTCTCTCCTCACCCGGGAATAAAAGTGGATACGGTACCTAGTAGGTTCGAACACAAGATGCGCTGATTGCAGCTGCAACACTATGGAATTTTTCCCAGGGAGTTGAGTATGCATTCCATATGTGCTTTATCCAATGGCCGGGGTTGCGGAGCGCCAAGAAGTCTTGATGGCATTAAGCGCCATATAAGTTTAACTTTATCATTTTCGGTTTTGTGCTTAACTTTATTACTTACAATCATTTGTAGCTATTGTTTAAAAAAATGGTATACAATATAAAGAATCAACATTATAATAATAGTGAACGCTGTACGTGTTATTGTTACACCTTTCTAAAGACAAATTGAAAATTAATTTTATAGGCCAATTTCGTGTGTTGGCGAAGAATAAACAGAACAATTAATGGTAGGTACGTATGAATATTCATCAGATAAATTAATGTATGTACAATATTTTTTAACATGCTTTATCATCGGAACGTGTTACAAACAAGTACAAACACATAAATTACATAAGGTAATGTATGTTAATTCGTTTGATGCACGCTGTCAGCGATTATTTGACGTTTTTATTTTCAATAGCTAAATTGTTATTGAAAGAGAAAACATTGTTGGAACAATAGCAAATTCTGCATTTTCGATTTATTAGCTTTATGTAGCCCCGTAATAAAACTTGACTTTTAAGTATCATATCGTAAACTTGATATGCATCAAAATTATTAGCATATTTATATCTAAAATGTTAAAAAAGGTATAAAATAATGGTATTTATACATGGAAATCGATACAGACCATCTGTTGGTTTGTTTTCTTTATATTGTTTTTCTTTCACCTAAAAGTGAATATTTTTATAAATACAGGTCCCTAAGAGGTTAGGTGTATATGTAGAATTACGATAGTAAGCGCAATCATTTCTGTAAGCATTATAGTCGATCAACTTGCCACAAACTAAAGTCTTACTCTTAGTAACTCTGTTCTTGGCATATATTATTATTGCCAGCAAGCGAAGGAATTTTAATATGATTTGTATAAATACGCCTAATTATATAATAGTAATGGCTGTGATAATAATTATTTAATAATTTTAAAATTATAAATTTTAAAATGATTAAATTAATTTTACATGATATTTACAGGGATAAAAATAATAATTTTTAAAGAATATTATTGTTGTTATTGTTGTTGCTGTTTGTATTATTATTATTATTATTATTAGTAGTAGTAGTAGTAGTAGTAGTAGTAGTATTAGTAGCAGTAGTAGCGGTAGTAGTAGCAGTAGTAGCAGCATCAGTAGCAGCAGCGGTAGTAGCAGTAGTAGCGGTAGCAGCGATAGCAGAAGTAGCAGCAGAAGCAAAAGTAGCAGAAGTAGCAGCAGTAGCAGCAGTAGCAGTAGTAGTAGTAATTTCACAGATGGAGGAGCTTTACCACCTCAGCTCCACCATGGTTAGGCTGAGGTAAGACAATTTGTGATTATGGCACCTTTAGATGGCCAGAAATTGCACTCTCAAACTTAAAATTCCACCACTTGTAGTAGTAGTAGTAGTAGAAGTAATAGTAGTAGTAGTAGTAGTAGTAGTAGCAGCAGCAGCAGCAGCAGCAGTAGTAGTAGTAGTAGTAGTAGTAGTAGTAGTAGTAGTAGTAGTAGTAGTAGTAGTAGTAGTAGTATTAGTAGTAGCAATATGTACAGTAGTACCGTACTGTATGTAGCACCACCACCACAGTAGCAGCAGTAGCAGTAGTAGTATTCTTTGCTAAATTGGTTTTCTAATTCTTTTCGTAAATCTCTTAAAGACCATTTTCACAATTGATTCTATTCATTTATTATATATTCTTGGTGTTTTGCTAATTTATATTTATATAATATCTTTATATTATAAATACCAATCTTATATCTGCTCTTGTTTCTTATGTATTATTATCTAGAAACCACTTGACAGCTGATTAAGTTCGGTTTTTGGTTTACTCTCTCCTCTGTTGTTTGCTCTTTGTCAGTCAATTTTTATTGTATTTTTATGTTTTTGTATTTGCATGTTTTGTGAGAGAAATAAATGAAAAAAATGAAACTACTATTATTATCATTAGCATTGTTATTATTATTATTATTTTTTTTTTTTCTTTTCACTCTAGGCCTATCATTATGTTTTCATTTCTGAACCTGGTGAGAGATATCATTTTATGTATTTATTTTGATTTATGAGTTGATTATGACAATGTCCATCCAAGAACTTGTCAACTTTACATCAGCCTACATACGGGTTTCGTAGACAGCAATTATTTTCTGTCCTTCTGTTCGCGTATTTTGTTGACGAATCCGCAGTGACAGGAATGGAAAAACATTAGGTGCATAACCATATAATTTATCAAATTCATGCACATAGTAATGAATAATAAATTAAATATTATGTGTTTAACTTACTCAACAGAAATTCGCACTCCAATTGTGAGTAATACTGACGCGCGGCGTTGATTCGAATGGGTTACGCTGCGACGCAATTTATCATTTTAATGACCAGCCGACATTGTTCTGTCACCTTCAGAGCTACACGTCAAACCAGTACAAACTGCAATTATCAAAAAATTAAGTTTTAAAACAAAAAGCTTCCAAATAGAGAAAAATAATCATCCAATTTATCCTTGTTTATGAGCGTAGTTTCTTGACAGACAGATATCGCGTAGTCAAACAAGGGCAGATAGAGTATGCAACATCTGACATCGCTATTCTGCATGTTGAGCGGCTTCAAGTATGATAATAATCAATATCGTCAATTAAGGAAAAATAAATTCGTTTGAAACATATCGCAAAAATAAATTTGACTTTATATCAGCAATTCAACCTAGGTTATCAACCACTGTTGATATTGAACGCGTTTGGTTAACGCGGTTGACGCAAATCGGTTACGTAATAAAACGTGACTTCGAGGCGTGTACAGTGTATAGATTTAGCCACGAAAGCTGTGTTTGGATTCAAACGATTTAAAATTGGATGGGAGGGATTCTCATGTACCCTTCGCTTTCCTGATCGAACATCAACAATGTTATGATCTTCAGCAAGGCTATCGCTATCCGTAATTTCACACCGAATATGGTTTCAGGCCACAGATGCGAAATGCGAACTGTCCATGTACCTCAATTAATGCAAATCAATAGGTTTTAATTGAAGAATAATAACTGAAGGCAGCTTAGAGAGGATTCGAACGGAACCATATCGTAGCATTTCCTGTGCTACGTACGATAGATATGGAGACCCAAGCAAAGAGCTTCGATCTGACTGCACATAATCCGGGGACAATAAGCCACGAAGAATTAAAAACAACCCTTATGGTATATTGTAGTTTAATTAGACAATTAATTGTTTTATGTTGATAATCTTGGCGTCCATTATTAACTCAAACAAATCAGTACATTGATAAATAACAGTCTATCAGACGTTGTAAATTTGTTGTTGATTTATTACTTGGACAAAATTTGATCGTGTCTCTATCTGGACAAATTACATTTTTTCGTTTACATGTTTCATTGAATTGCGCACTGTATATTGTTAATAAAAACTTTCATGTGAATCAGATACTACTGTAAACGGATACGCTATAAATTCATAAATCTTACAAAACAGATTCATAATCATTGTCAGACAACAGCATTAAATAAAATAAAGTAATATAGTATCCTTATACGTTAAATTAGTGAATGCGTTATATCAATCGAATCAATCCATTTAAAAAATACCCTATATAATTTAACAGATTGAAAATAAATTTGTTCCTATTTGTCCTTAAATTAAAATTTAAAAGTGGAATATATAGACATATATATATATATATATATATATATATATATATATAATATCACATAATATCATATCATTTATCATCACATATCATACATCATATCATAATATAATACGAAAGGCTCACTTTGAAGCTCTTCTATAAAGTACATAAGTATGTTTATTATCATGTGTCATATTATCATATATGATATCATGTCATATTATAAATTAATATTATAAATCCTAAAGATAAATATTAAGCATAAAATGGCCTAACAAATCTAGGCCTATAATATAAATCAAGATAGCCGTTAACACTGTTAAATTATACATAAATCATCAAAGAAAGGTAAATACGTATTTACCTTTCTTTGATGATTATATATGATATATATATATACATATATATATATTACATCATATCATAATATAATTATGATATACATACTCGCTTTGAATCGCTACTATCAAATAAATAGGTATGTTTATTATCATGTGTCATATTATCATATATAATATCATTTCATATGATACATTAATATATAAATCGTAAAGATAAATATTCTCTGCATAAAATGGCCTAATATCTCTTTATATATTATTCATTTAAAGGGTATCTGTATCGATGTTTTCATCTTCCCCTTTTAAATGTTCAAGATGATGAAATATCCCACTGATCTCTATTATACGTATTGGCCTGGTGGGGATAAGACCTATTATAAGCATATACGTAAAGTATTTACAACAATAGTAGATTCAATCTGTGATACACCAACATTCCCTTTGTGGTCTAGCGGTCTGACACTCGCCTTGACAGCGAAAGGTCGCAGGTTTAATTCCCGCCGAAAGCACTTTTTTACTACTAAAGGCTAAAGACTGTTCGTTAAATGGCTATGGTTGATACGACTATGGCATATTGTTCCTGTATTTGAGCTAGTTTCTATTTGTGTATGTATGCTCACAGTGCTACGCATCAACTTATTATGTATGTATGTATGTATGTATATATATATATATATATA